ATGTGTGTGTCTTTGACTGGTTTGACCTTGTCTTATGTGCTAAGTCTATAAGTGATATTTCTATGTGTTTTAGTCAAGTCTAAGTGTTAGATCCAAGTGTTCCAAAGTCCAAAGAACTTCACGAACGACTTGGTCGACTCGAGTTCGACCAAGTATGATTGTGTTTGTTCCTCTAAGGTCAAAAGTGTTGATCTTAGTATAATATCTGTTGTAGGTGTTTGACGAGCCGTGCTCGCTGCCTACCTCTGAGTTTGCTGTTTCACTCTGCTACACCAGGTGGGTTTACTTATAAAAATTATCTATGCCATACGTGTGTTTAAGTGTTTGGTTGGTATGACCAATGTATGAATGTGAACCATGTGGCCGTCGAGTTACGGTACGGTTGCCCTTGCGAGGCAAGTCTCTTTAAGACCTAATGAAAGGCCGTGTCCGTTACAGTGGCACGCACTCCCGTCGTTAGGGTTTATGCATCCCCTTTCCGCGGCTAATGATAGATGTGCACATGAGTGAGTTATTGTTGTTAGGAGATGAGACATGATGATGATTGATTTATATTCATGCTGCGACCATACCATCTTTTCATTGTTATTATGTGCATAGTAGTGAGCACTACTTTATCATTTGTGCTCATTCCCACCTGCTCTTCACGGATGCAGGTTAAGCAGTGGCCGGATGACGGGATGATGGACGAGTGGTGGTCATTTATGTGTTGTCGCTTCCGTTTTTAATAATGTGGTCTTTATGAACCCTAATCATGTTTTCGAACTATGTTTGATGATGGGAATAATTTGGTAATCACTTTTGAACCTTGGATAATTATGGTGATTGATTTGGATGTTCCATTGTTCATATGAGATGTGTATCAGGTTAATGAAAACCTTGCGAAAATCGGGTTTATGAATCCCCGTGAGTCCAGACACGACTTGGACTAGTTAAATTGTGATAGATAACACCCACTAAAATTTCGAAAATGAGTTTGGAAATTTTATACTGGTTTCGAAAAATCCGAAATTTCTTTAAATTCAAGTGGGGTGTTACACTTATGTTCGGCTTTGACTTGTTGACAGGTAAAACATCTCCTGACAAAATCGGCAACGTCCTTCTTTATCCCTCGCCACCAGAACGACCCTTTCAGGTCATGATACATCTTCGTGCTTCCGGGATGGGCTAGGTAGGGTGCAGTATGAGCCTCTGTCAATATCTCCTTCCGCAGCGCCTCGACTTTCGGCACCACTATCCTACCCCAAACTCCAAGGCACCATCGGTACCTTGCTGAAAACCCTCGACGCCTCCGGTGCATACTTTGGCATCCATGACACGAACAAACTCGTCAGAAGCCTGCTCCCGCCGGATTCTCTCTCTCAGCGTCAGCTGAATCTGCATGACACTGACACTCCCTGAAATGGCTGTGGGAAGTGCATCAACCACCTGAATCTGCATCCGGGCGAACTCCTGAATCAACTGGCTCTGCTGAGTAACGACGTACGTCAAGTCACCCCTCACCTTGCGGCTTAGGGCGTCCGCAACGACGTTCGCCTTCCCCGGATGATACTGAATCGAGCAATCGTAATCCTTGACGAGCTCTAGCCAACTGCACTGTCTCATGTTGAGCTCCTTCTGAGTGAAAATGTACTGCAAGCTCTTATGATCTGTGAAAATCTCGCATCGACCGCCGTAAAGATAATGTCGCCAAATCTTGAGAGCATGAACAACTGCGGCTAACTCCAAGTCGTGCGTCGGATAGTTCTATTCATGTGGCTTGAGCTGGCGTGAAGCATAGGCAACGACCTGGCCATCCTGCATGAGTACACATCCCAAACCTTGTTTCGAAGCATCACTGAAAATGGTGAAACTCCAAGAAGGATCGGGAATAGTCCACACCGGTGCTGAAGTTAATCTCTTCTTGAGCTCCTGGAAGCTCGACTCACACCGGTCAGTCCACTCGAGCTTCACAGATTTCCTCGTCAGCTGGGATAGTGGGAGGGCAATCTTGGAAAAGCCCTCGATGAACCTGCGGTAATAGCCAACTAAACTGAGAAAACTGCGAACCTCGGACGGACTCTTCAGTGTAGACCAGTTCTGAACAGCTGAGACCTTAGAAGGATCCACCTCGATACCTGCCTGAGTAATGACATGGCCAAGAAAGGCTACTCGCTGGAGCCAGAATTCGCATTTGGAGAATTTTGCATATAACTTTTCTCGTCTGAGGGTTTCGAGAACAACCCTCAGATGCTCCTCGTGCTCCTTCTGACTCTTTGAGTAGATAAGGATATCGTCAATGAAAACAATAACGAAATGATCGAGGTAGGGATGGAAAATACGGTTCATCAGGTCTATGAAAACTGCTGGAGCATTACTGAGGCCAATTGGCATGACGACAAACTCGTAATGGCCGTAACGAGTACGGAAAGCGGTCTTAGCAATATCCGGCTCCTTGATTTTCAGCTGGTGGTAGCCTGATCGCAAATCAATCTTTGAGAAGACACAGGATCCCCTCAGCTGATCAAATAAATCGTCGATCCTGGGAAGCGGATACTTGTTCTTGATCGTCAACCGATTAAGATCCCGGTAGTCGATACACATGCGCATGGAACCGTCCTTCTTCTTGACAAAGAGAACGGGTTCTCCCCAAGGTGACACGCTCGGCCGGATGAAACCGAGTCGTAATAGCTCCTGAATTTGCACCTTAAGCTCCTGCAACTCCTTCGGCGCCATACAGTACGGGGCTTTGGATATTGGGCCGGCTCCTGGAATGAGATCGATAGAGAGCTCTACCTGCCGGTTAGGCGGTCCTCCTGGAAGTTCATCTGGAAACACATCCACAAACTCACGAACGACTGGAACATCGTGAGGTGTTCGTGCTTTCTGAGAGTCATCGACAAGGCTCACGAGATAACCCTGACAATTGCCTCGTCGCAGCATCTTGGTGGCTTTCGTCATCGAAACGACATGAGGTAAGGAACGATTCTTGGTGCCAAAGAAAGTAATCAAATCGTCTCCCGGAAGATAAAGGGTAATCTCCCGGTCATGACATCGAATATCTGCATGATAATAGGATAGCCAATCCATACCAAGAATGAGGTCAAAATCCCTCATCTCGAGAACATACGCGTCGGTAGACAATATACGACCACCGATGGAAAGGCTGAGATCTGAAGCTTTAGCTGTAGTCATTATCTTTCGTCCAGAGGCTAAACTCACCTCGAGAGGATTGACAGCGGTAATAGCATGAACTCCGATGGCATCAAGACATCGTCGTGAAATAAAAGAGTGCGTTGCTCCAGTATCAAACAAGGCGAAAACAGGAACATCATTAAGTATAAGCATCCGTGACATGGTACCTGGCTGCTGCTCTGCCTCGGCCTGATCAACTGCATAGACTTGGGCCTGCTGTCTGCCCCTCTGCTGCTGCTGCTAAGGCGGCCTCTGAGCCTGCTGACGGGGTTGTTGATGCTGCTGATGTGGCTGCTGAGGCTGCTGTGGAGGCTGCTATGCTTTCTTCAGACAGCGGTTAGTAAAGTGTTCGGGCTCGTGACAGTAGTAACATATATCCTGACCAAAGCGACACTCTCCGCGGTGAAGTCGTCCGCAAGTGGGGCACGGTGGAACCTGCTGTTGCCTCTGGCGGGTCCTCCTGCCGGTCTGGGCGCCCTTCCCTTTCCTCTTCTTCTCATTCATTGGCTGGGCAGCTGGTGGGACTGATGGAGCTGTGGATGACTGGGCGAGGGCGGATGGTTGAGAACGATCGCGGCTTGCCTCCCTCCGGATGCTGGCGTCCACCTCCTGGGCAATCGAAACAGCACGAGCATAGGTCTGGGTCCCGTGACCTACTATGTTGTGACGGACTGCTGGATAAAGCCCATCAATGAAGTGTTGTGCCCTCTGTGCCTCCGTACGTACCAAGTCCGGAACAAAAGTTGTAAGTCTAGTAAACTCCCTTTCGTACTCATCAACAGAACGAGTACCCTGCTTGAGCGATAAGAACTGACGCTTCATCTCTGCTCGGTAGTACGTGGGATAGTACTTCTCGCGGACTAGCTCCTTGAGCCTCTCCCAGGTACAACCTTCTTTCTCGCCGGGACGCATACTCTAGTAGGCATTCCACCAGAGTCGGGCATTGCCGGTTAGTTGAAGCTGTGCGAATATGACGCGATATCGATCTGGACAGTCTATGACCTCGAAAATCAATTCAAGGCCCTGAATCCACTTGTCCACAATACGGGGATCTCCCTGACCGGAGAACTTCTCAGGATGATAGTCGCGGAACTGTGCGACTACTGTGGCCTGGGGAATAACCGGGTGATCGGGTTCCCTACGGGGCGGTATCTGAACATTGAGGAAGTTCAATATTATTGAACACATGAAAAATACTTTAACTGATTACTAAAACACACAAATCTCTTGACGAGTAGCCAAATATGGCTGGAAAATACTGACTTGAATCCTGAGGAAATCTAGAGTTATATCTGAATACACTAAACTGTAAGTTTTGAACCTGATTCGAGCATCTTAACTAAGTCATGATTAATAAATTTCTGAGCATAGACAAAGTAATTTGTTTATAACTTAAAACATAAATCAGCACTTACCTGTAGTCGGCGAGGCGTGAGCGTGACGGTTCAGGTTTTTGAAAATTTCTAACTCGTAAAACTTTTCAGAGACGCAGAAACGTGCTCTGATATTAATTGTAACACCCCGCTATTTCATGAAAATCAGAGTGCGATTTTCGCAAAAGTTTTCTAAATAAAAACATTTATTTTGCGAAATACTGATTCGGAGTGTTACCGTAAAATCTGTCTTATTCTGAAAACCGTTATTTTAGTTTAATAATTAAACGGTTATATAACATGATACCCGACTAACGTCGGATCAAAAGCTGGTTTAGTAAACTGAAATAGTAGCGGAACCATAGTGTAGCCAAACATGATTTATACATATATATAAATATCCTGAACCGGTCGTCTGCTCACTCCTCGGCTCCGACTCTGTGACCTGAAAAACATGAATAATGTGGGGGCGTAAGCACTAATCCACTGTGCTCCGCAGAAACTCATACTAAAGTAAACAGTGAAAATAAATACAATATCATGATCCTGGCATATATAACTGAACTGAACTGAAACTGAAACTGATAACTGATACCGGTACTGAATAATCTGATACTGATCTCGTGATAAACATCACCTGACTGATAACTAATCAATGTAATACCTAGTCTGAGTCCCCACCTGATCCTTTGAAAATGAAAGACAGTGCTGATATCTGAAGTCTGATCAAACTGAAATATAATATAAACAATTACTAAGTACTATGCTCAGACTGATAAAAATATCTGTTTAATATGTTAAGATGCTCTACTGGACTCGACATGATTTTGGGATTTAATCGATATAACTGAAACCAGTTAAATACGGAACTGAACTGATATTAATTTACTGGACTGAACTGGACCCAAAATTTTAATTGAAAAATGAGACTTAAGCGTGAACCGGGACTAAAACATGAAAATATAGGCTGAACCGGTCCAACCGGTCTGAACCGGACTGAATCGGTCTGGCCAGACCGCCGGTCTGCTGTGGCCTGGTGGTCGGGGTCTGGCTCGGCCAACGGGCCTGCCGAGGCTGCGCGCCTGGGCGCTGCCTGGACTGGCTG